TGGGGGTGAGGGTGGGGGCGGGGACTGGTCGGGAGGATATTAGAAATAATCTGGAATGAGAATTATCGATAACTTTCGAGAAACGTTAAAATTAGCTTTAAAGTAGTCGACATTTTGGTGACCTTTTGAAACATATAGAATGTTTTCTTCGTCCCCGTTTTTCCACTGATAATGCATTATTATAGTTTTTGTACATTATTTCTATCATGAAACAATATCGGCCTCATTTGCTATTACAACGATATTGCTCAAAAATTCTCATTTTTTAATTGCTTACAAAAAAATGGAAATGTAAAGGAAGAGAAAAAAAGAACATATAATATTTACATTTCTCTAGAATCAGTTATTACACCAACAAATTATATTTTAAAATTAATACTACGAAAATTTTAATAATTTTAAAATATTCAAGATAATTTTCTGAAAAACTTTGTTTTTGTTTTAATTGTGTTATTGCAGCAAATGAGCGATATAATAAATTGCTGTTTAAATATTTAGATTCTCATTCGTTATTCATTTTAACTCTTGCCTAAATAGCATAGAAAGATTTTACAGTAATTACGATTGAAAGATTATTTGTAGAAATTATAAAGTTAAACGTTCGGAAACCGCAATAGTTGTAATTAGATTAAAATCAAAAAGCAGAAAAATCTTATACAAAAGATATCGCGGATATTAATGATCTATATAGAAAATATATAAAGTAATGACAACGCACTTTTATCTAAACTATCGTCAAACAAATAACTAGCATTTGTGAAAGAATATACATACGTATATGCTTTAAAGCGTTAAATATTCGCACGCACGTCCATCAGTATGTACAATGAGCGATCTGATTTCACATTTTTTAACAATGCAAGCATTCCGTAACAATGTGAAATCGAATGTTGATTATTCTGATGCGTTCAACAATAGGATCGACTGTCTTATTTTATAAAATCCTGACTGACTTTTTATCATTTTCAACTTTCGAAAAGTTACGTACATCTTTTTTACCTCTAGTCTGAGTTACTTTCATTAAATATATACATATATGTGTATATGTGTATATATATATATATATACTATAATAAATTTTGTTACTTGTTATTTTATTCTTATTATTTTTTATACATATTTTTTATGTTAATAAACACGTTGAATAAATGTTGTATATTTTTACCTTTTTACGGTACACTAGCACATTCATTGCGCGCGCTACGCGCGCGATGGTCCATTATACTCTTTTTAAATATTATGAATTATGTTTCTTTGAAACTTGTTTTGAAATCAATAACTCCTCTAATTCCTACTAATACAAAATTTCCCTGAAATTTGAAAACCTTTAGAATTTTATTATTGTTTTCGATCGCCACATTAATTCTACCATTTTGATAAACAATATTTAGTTTATTTTTTTATTCACCGTTTACGTCGAAAAATTCGACCCACAGTGTGTCACAGTGTGGCTGTGCTGGGTCGCGTACAAGAGTAAAGTACATTAAAGCAATCAATTGCCGGGATCATTTTGGTCTCAAAATGTTTCTAGAATTATTTGCTCTAAGAATATCCAGAATCCGATATTTTGCTCATCGTTTACGTCGAAAAATTCGACCCACAGTGTGGCTGTGCTGGGTCGCGTACAAGAGTAAAGTACATTAAAGCAATCAATTGCCGGGATCATTTTGGTCTCAAAATGTTTCTAGAATTATTTGCTCTAAGAATATCCAGAATCCGATTTTTTTGCTCATCGTTTACGTCGAAGGATTCGATCCACAGTGTGGCTGTGATGACTTAAGACTAAAGTTGGCACAGCCACAAAGAAAAATAGCAGCAAATGAAAAATCAAGTACATATTTTTGAAGGGCTTTTTTTGCTAATTTAAATTCTACTTCAAAAACGCACTAAAACCAAAATCCCCCTTATATTCCATCCGCCGGATTAACGAAAACTGATTTTAGAAAACTGAATCGAAACGCCATTTTGAACTTTCAATTTTTAAATACGGATTCGTAATAATCGACCCCGAAAATCCCCAAATATGAAACCACATCAAAATCAGAGAATTCCAACAGCCTCAACGAATATTTGTCCACCCTCCAAAAAAAAGTTATACACAAAAAAAATTGTAATACCCCCAAGTGGTTATTTTACACTATTACGAAAAATATAATAAACATAGGGTGGACAAATGAAAATAATGCGATTGGTAAAATCATTATTGCATTCGTTTGTCCACTGTTTGTCCACGTTTGTCCACCCGTTATTTTCATTTGTCCACTCTATGTTTATTATATTTTTCGTAATAGTGTAAAATAATCACTTGGGGGTGTTACATTTTTTTTTTGTGTATAACCTTTTTTTTGCGGGGTGAATCAAAGAAAATAACGGGTGGACAAACGTGGACAAACAGTAGACAAACGATCGCAATAATGATTTTACCAATATTCGCATTTAGGAGTGCCAACTTCACAAAGCAGCTCTGTAAAGTTGGAATCTGTAAATGCAAATATTGGAAATATCATTATTACATTCGTTTGTCCACTGTTTGTCCACGTTTGTCCGCCCGTTATTTTCATTTGTCCACCCTCCAAAAAAAAGTTATATACAAAAAAATTGTAAATTTAAAGTTGCACTAGATAAAATAAAATTTTTTTATGGAAAAAGTACCACAGAAAGTGATAACACAAATTATAATTTATATGAATTCTATATGTCATGTCTTTATGCAGTCGGCACTAAATCGATGAAGAATATATATTCAAAAAGCTTCTCCCCACTAAAACTAATTATGCCTGACTTTTTTTTATAAAAAAAGGAGAAGCCAGTATACCATCAGCACACATACTGATGTGTCTAAAGAAGAAATAACCGATTAGATTCGACAGAAACAGGAAAAGAAAAATCTATTCTTACCAGATCTGTTTTTAGTCGATATAAAATTAAATTAATAACATTTAATTTATAATTAGAGAAATACAAAATTAAAGAATGAACACACATGTTTTTTAGTCTGTCAAAGTTTAATTGAATTTTTCGGAAACGAAAAAACATTTTTAAATAAAAGTTTGTCTGTCTTAAGATTTTGAACAAAAAAGGGTTTTAATATAGTATATACATTTTTTATATTTGCATTCGTTTCGAAAAATTCAGTAAAAACTTTGTTTATGCTTTTATCTTTTTAAAAATTTAAGCAACAGGGATAAGGAGTCAGAAAAAAAACCATCTTGATTAATTCTAATAAATAATAATTTTTGGAATTATTTCATTTTTGTTGTTTATCAAATATTAAACAAAGATAAATAACTCTTGCGAGCGTTGTGAGAGCGCCAAATAAAATTACACTATTTCTATTTGTTTTCTAAATACTTCTAAGTATAACGGGTTGCATATTGTCAGGCATATTGCGTTTAAATGTATTACGCAGTAAAACTATTTTGTATTTGGTATTAGAAACGTCGACGAAAGTCCATTCAAATTCTTATTAAATCTTTATGTTAAATTGTTAATTTAATTTGTTAGTTTAACATAATGTGATTATGTTGTTTGAATATTTTGTGTTATATTAATATTTAACATTGCTTGATATGGTATTATCAGACAATAATTAGAAGTAAAGTGTGTAGAAGTAAATTTAAATTAAATATTTGTAAATCACAAACATTTAATTATTAAATTAATAAGCATATTTAAAGGTGATAGAGAGAAAAGAAAAATTCCACACACAATTTCCATCAAGCGTTCTTTAATCTCATTCACGCGATCACGATCCGGAAATCTTTCTTGCACAAAGAGCAAGAAGGCAGAACGTGAAAACGTTAAAGGCAATAGCAAGATTGATCATTACTATAATATAGTAGTGTGCTATGAATGTAAAATATAGATGCTAGAAATAAATACTTTCGCAAACGAGGATTTCATTGCTGAGTCAATCTCTATTATTAGTTCCTCGAGACGTTTCAGACAAAATGCATGTTGCATGTATCTTCACGATAATTATTTCATAATCATCTATCGACGGCGTTGTGTGTGTGGAGTATTATTATCTTTTTGTAATACACAAATCATTATCTATTTATCTAGTTAACATCTCGTGAATATATAAATTATTAACACGAAATATTTATTAAATATCTGATATATGTAATTAATATAATACTATAATAGTTCAATTTTAATTTACTATATAATTCACTTCATTATTATGATTATTTAATATATATATATTATACATTATTTATATATTATTTTATGTACTATAATCTTAAGTTAATATATACTTGATAGTAATATTTATCTTATTAACACATACTCTTTTATTTTTCATATTTAATTTACCTTTCAAGTCTCTCCATTATTAATTTTTGATCGATATTAAGCACCATTAGGTTTAACTGATTAAATAAAAAAAATTATTATATTTCTTCGAGATTAATTTTTTTAATATTGCTAAATCACATTCATTGTTATTTTTTATTTTCATTTTCTGCTGAGCACACGCGATATACAATATATCTTTATATTCACACTCCTCCACTGCTTCGCGATCGTGCAAGAATTTTAGGGGACACGCGCTTCTCCGCTTTGTCATTGTGCTGATATTCTGAATCATCAACAAAATAACGACCTGCATGAGTTTTTTCTCTTGACTCATTTTTATATTCCTCAGCGGAGTGATCACCCTCTTCGTGTTTGTCATCGTAGAATTTCGTGACATCACCCGAATACGTGTGTCCGCTGGTGGACTCGCCTCCCTTATGATAACCTTCCTCATACGTGTGAACGTAAGGTTCAATTTCATTGTTATCTATTTCTTTAACGTCCTCCTTTACTTCGTACTGTGGTGGATATGAATATCCAATCATATTCCCGCGTTGTTCCTTCAGAAAATTAAGTTTCTCGTTGTGTTGTAACATGGGAACATTAGAATCTCTGTGATATTGAGTGATAGGGTTCCCGTGAGCCACCTCTTTGTGGATATCATCATCTTTATGATCCTTTTGATTTTTTAGCAGATCATCGCTTGATTGATCGTTTTGATAGCCGTAATTGCTCCAGGAACTCCAATCTTCATGATGTGATTCCTTGTGGTAGGTCTTCTTCTTCTTTGGCTCTTCTTCCTTGGGCTTCTTCGGTGCTATCGAAATTTCCGGTTTATGAATGTGTATGAACACCGTTTTTGTATGAGTGTGATGTTTTATTATTTCGGGCACGTAAATCTTGAAGTGCACGCTGTTAATAAAAAAAAATAGATATATATGGCAAACAAGTGAATTTTACACTTAGGCCGCGTTCTGATATGCATTGCCAGTATTGAAAATCTGTATACTAGTTTTCATTACGTATATTGTAGATCTTCAGTACTAGTAATGTATATCAAAATACATCTCCAGAAAAGTCTTATAATAGCAAATAAAGTTTAGTTAATTCAACGCTAACTTTTTTTATATCCAAACATTTGATCGAAATTATTTCATCCAAGTATTTAGTAGTTATCATTTAAGTTTGATTTATTATTATAATAGCAAACTTTTTTTTTATTATGTAAAAAAATTAATGTAGAATCTATAAATATGCTGTTTGCTATTCTCAAATAGACTGCTGCTTTAATTCAATATAATATACTAATTTAATTAGTACTAAAGGTATTCCAAGAATTTTAAACATATTAAAATAAATATAATTGGGGGTGTATATATTACATGCTTTAATTAATTGCCAACAAGTGAGAACGAGAGTAAGCATAAGGCTATATGAGTTTCTCTACAAGAAAGCGTAAAGTTGTGTGGCTATGTTTAATGCCAAACATCTCTTAAAGCAATTCCGTGCAAACTAGATGAAATTACCTAATAACATAGTATCGGTTGCATACTCACTGCTCCTTGGCGTTTCCGTTGTGCAGCACCCCATTCGACAGAATGAAAAGTAGACTGATAATGATCTTCTGAAACACAAAGTAGAGGTCGTTACACTTATTCATACATGTTTTTTGAATTAATTGGAGATGTTTATATTGATTATGATTCCGTTATACCGGAATATCTATACCGATCTCTTGTTGATTTAGATTGCATTTGCAAAGCTGATGCACGCACAAACTCTTAACGGCATAATACTCAAATCACTAATTATAGTACTCGAAGGGAGAGAGAGAGAGAGAAACGTACAAAATTCTATAGGTATATTTTGAAATGTCTCACTTGCATTTTTGAACTGAAATTTATAACACAATTATGTAATATTTGTAATATTTATATATATATATATATATACATATATATCGCTCAACATTGTGTTCACTTTATATTTTATTAATGTTGTTACCATTGTCGAATCGTCGTAACCGCGATTGCAAGCGAGATTGTTGACAGTCAATTACTGTTTGATATCACTGACAGTGAATCGTCATTTATATGCCATTTTCTTTTCATCGAAGCGAATCTTGTGAAACAACAATACCATGATGCAGTTCACGGCTAATGATCACTTTCGCTGTATCTTTCCGGTGATATGCTTCATCTGTCGATCCGTGACTAACGTGGCTTTAGAAATTATAGGGTCAGTAAACTATGAAGATAGTCTAACCAAGGTCAATGTCATGGCAAAATTATTTGTTTTGCCAAATATTTTACGCCATTAAAAAAAAATATTATTTTTTTATTTTTTCAAATTTGTTAATACACAAGAACTTTAATTCGTTATTACATATAATAATTAAGAATTATAATAGTATTATCTTGAATTTTATTAAACATATAGCTATATTTATATTAAAGCAATTTATATGTATATAAAGTTTATTTCTATTCCCAATCAGCATATAACGTTTAAAAAATATTTTTTTAATATTTTTATATTTAACATTTTTACATTAAATAAATTTAAAAATAGTATTGTCTGCTGATTGGGTAAATGCTGAAAATAAATATATGGTTTGTATTAGGTTGATGCAAAAATAATGTCGGTTTTTACTATTCTAAACTTTGGAGGGTTTATTCTACAATAAGAACACGTTCGACTGTTTTCATGTTGTGTCATTTTCAAGCGCAGATTCCGCTGTTAATTGTGCTAGTATGATTTTGTTTTCATTGTTAACTTTGTGATCAATCAATTATGAAAAAGAAGCAATTCCGAATATTTTGAATTCAAATTCAAATTAGGTTTTAAAACAGCAGAAATAAGTCGAAGAATTAATGAAACATTCGGCTAGGAGACTACAAACGGACAGTACAATAATGGTTTCAAAAATTTCGTAACGGAGGTGACGCACACAAATCTTAAAAATAAAAAAGGTTGGAGACTAGTCTGCAGTCATTGACAATAACTTTGAAGGCAATTATTGAAGAGAATCTATTAAAAATCATTCAAGAGATCTATTAAAAATCATTCAAGATTGCACAGGAATTAATCAATTAACAGTTTTTGATCAATAGTTGTTTGTTATTTTAATCAAATCAGAAATGTAAAAAAACCGATATTATTTTTGCATCAAAACCTAATAGTTACATTATTTCTACTAATAATGATTTAAGTAATTGTTGAAATATGGCAAAATTAAACATTGTGAGTAAATATATTTATTTTTAAAAAATTATATTATTATATAAATAAATGTATATTAAATAAATATTATGACACTCAGATAAGACATATGTATACAAAAAATAATTCAATTAAATAATAAATACTAATTTTTAATTTAAATTATAATATATTAGAAAAAATATCAGAAGTGTGAGAAATAAATCATCGAAAAACTGTCTACTATATTACATTGATAATTAGAAACAATAAATATAAATTTAGTAGATAAAAAGAGACTTCAGATTTTTTAATAATAATACATTTCTTTTATAATTAAAGATAATTAC